TATCTGATTATTCTAGTATCTGAGGTCTTTTTGCAGGTCAGATTATGCTTTCTGGTATTTGGTGAATTGTATTCTTTTATATATTCTTGGTAATATTTTGTGAATTTTTTTTAAACTATGGGCACATGTTAATTGAAACATGGAAATTCTGTGAGGTCTGGGTAAGTTAAGGTGTGTGTGTTTTTCTAGGAGTATTTGCATGTAAGTTTGGAGGCCTTTAGAGGCACTGCCACAGTGTAATCACTTTTTTTTTATAGGTCTCACAGGTAATACAAATTCTCCTCTCAGCCTGTCCAATACCTTCTTTAATCATGAATTTACTAGGGAGACTTTTCCTCTTTCATATCTGGAGCCAAGGCCGAGACTTGCAAGTTTTGTGTTTCTTTGTGAATGGTGGCTTTTTCTTTTTACCTTTCACTGGGTATATCAATCTTTGGGGTTCCCTCTTTTTTTTGTGGATAATCTCCAATATGTTTTCTCATGCTGAATTATCCCCATGATTCATCTCTTGTCTATTGTGCACAGAGACTTTCAAAATCACATTTGGAGGTGGCATGCATCAACAGATGTCCCTAGGTAGTGTCCACCTTCAGGACTCATTTGTTTCTCTGGGTTTAATCTTTTCCTTAATTTTTGTACCTTAGGTTATTGCTCTTATTCTCCTACTACCTCAGTGTACATTGAAAAGACTTTTTAAACCCTTAATGTAACTTTCTTAAGGATTTTGTTCTGGGAAGGCTCTTCAGGATATCACATTTGCCATGTTATTGTAATATTTCTCAAATGTTATTTTAAATGTTTCTTTTATAGGATTCAGTTTAGCTGCATTTAAAAGAAACAAGAGGAAACTAGAACTGGCAGAAAGGGTGGAAACAGATTTCATTCAACTAAAGAAAAGAAGACAATCAAGTGAAAAGGTCAGGAGATATTTGAAATACTAAATAACTAATGTATCATAATGATATCTCTAACCTGCATTTATATATATAAGCTTTAGAACAGTATGATCCAATAGAAATCTAATACATGCCACATATCTACTTTAAAGTTTTTCAGTAGCTATATTTTAAAAAAAGTAAGAAGAAACAAGTGAAATTAATT